TCCAAAAACTTTTCTATAGGAAGCAGAGATAAAAGCAAAAACAAAAGTCATGCCAAACGAACCCTTAATTTGTTGATACAAGTTCATATACGTATACCTCATCCCTCTCCCGATTGCCTCAAAATGACAAGATCTATTGAATATTGGGCTCCAATCACCAACCAAAACCGGGCTCAATATATATGATAAAACATAGATCTTTTCAAACATGTTCACACAGAACAGCAGATTAATACGAAGTTAATCAAACACGCATTCATCACATATGCAACAAATGCATAAATAACCTACGAAAAGATCTCACACACTTATATTATCTCATTCTGTGTTGTTCACACCTCGAGAACACATATCTCACCTCATCGTCCACAATGCTCACAAACTAATCACTCAAAACACATGTCTAACTGGTAAGCCTCTATAGATACTAAGCTATCGGGATAATACTCTATCACTACATCACTTCTCCCAACCTACGTGAATAATGAGTCTCCATCTAACAGAAGTGATAGAAGTGACTCTCTCATACTCCACCTGATCAAGGTTCCTTCACAGATAAAGGATTTCAACATTTGATCACATCTTCTCTCGTGATCCAATTGTCACACTCCACATCCCCGGTACAAACCACTTATGTACCCCTAGGTATCTATACTCCACCTTACCAAAAAGACCACACACACATACACACTCACACTGCTAATGCATCCAAACCCCCTATGCATGCAAACAATTACACCAAGTAATAAGATCACTTCAATTCATGTCAACGCATATATCAAACACATTGAAATGCAATATATAATCATGCAGCGGAATTTAGAAATCACACACATGCATAAATGATTACACACGGATGCAAATGCAGTAACTATGGTAACACTTAATAAGGCTCACTAGGGTCATCACTTGACCTTAATACCAAGTTCGTCTCACCTCTCATCTTACCCTTTTTCTTGGGACAATCCATAATGAAGTGTCTGACTTACCATAGCTGTAACACCGTCTACCACTAGGCTTGTCCCGTCTCTTGCCCTTCTTGTTACCATCATCATCACTCGAATCACTACTATCTTCAACTTTACCGAAACTCATCCGCTTAAACTTCATTCTACTCTTCATCATATGCAGTTCACCACTTCTCTTATCTTCTTTTTCAACCTTAATCTCCATCTCCTTACTCCTAATGAAATCTATGATAATTTCAGGTGTTAGGGTGTCCCTACCATACTTAATTACATTCTTAACCACTCTATATGAATCAGACATAGAATTAAGCAAAATAATGGCTTTATAGGTTTCAAACACTTTCTCGTCACAATTAACGATGTCTTAAACCAACTTGTTAAAAACATCCAAATTGTCATCAAGATCCTTTGAAGGATCATTTTAAAGCTAAAAAATCTTTCAAGCAAGTACAACTTATTAGGAGTAGATTTAAATAAATATAAGTCTTCCAACTTTTGCCAAAATTCTTTGGTAGAATCAAGTTTTCCTACTTTTCTCAAAATAGTGTTAGACAAGTGTAAAATAATTGAAGTGTATGCAAATTTATCATATTTTTCTTTTTGTACTTCTGTAAGTTTTTTAGGAAATTTGTAATCTATGGCTTTTGAAACTTTTTTGTTGAACCAAAATTCTCTTAATCTTTTGTTGCCAAATTGAGAAATCTCATTTCCCATTGAAAATTCCAATTTCGAAATGTGAAGACATTTTGAAAAATAGAACAACAACAAATGCACAAGTAGGTCACACATAGTAATCATAAGGCAACAATATACACAATTCTAGATTTTTAGGGTTGCGTAAGATTCATGATCTTAGATCACGAGAATGTTCGAACGGGTCAAATCAGGGTGTTCTAACAGAATAGTCAATGCAACACGAAGATATATGAACAAAAATTCAAAATTCTCACGCAATTCAATCTCACACAAAGACTAAACAACAGTTATAGCACAAAAGTAATTACCAACTTGCAGTTAAAACCAACACTTCAAATAGAGCAATTAATTCCTAAATTTCTAGCACAGACAATGGTTATCCTTTCACGATAACCCCAATTCTAATGTCACCTCACACGATGACATGCTGATACTGAAATTTAACCGGGATAAGCCATTTTACCAAAGCAAACCTATCTGAATCCGTAAATTATGAGAGATGCAAATTTACTGCTTTAGGGCCGCAATTTATGGCATAAAGTAATTTAGTAAATATTTTACAGTTTCGACCGTTGAACCCACAAAAGGCAAAATCGCTCAAATTTATCTGCGAAACCTGAAACACAAAACAAAAAAATCAGTACGTTCAAGAAATCAAAATAAACAAACTACCTGAAGAAAGTTTCGCCGAATGAGGTCCCACGTGCCCTCATGCGTGGTCGTCGGAGTTACACTCGCAGCCGCCACCGTTACGCGCCACCCACCCGGTGCTCCTTGGTCTGCAGATCAAGGTTCTGGTCTCTGTTTCACCAATGGACTTTTGGATTGGCCGGAATCGACGATTGCAGGTGCGGTTTTTTGGGAAAAAACTGGGCAGGTTTTTTCTTCAGTTTCTGCTGCGTTTTCTGGCTGTTCCTAGTCAATTTTATGGCCTGAAATTCACCCCAACTTGCTCTGATACCATATGTTGAATATTGGGCTCCAATCACGACCAAAACTGTGCTCAGTTTACCAACCAAATCGACACCCAATCAATCGACCCAAAACCTTTCCACTATTCCTCTCTTCAGTTGCTTTCAATGTACCCACTTAGGACACAAAGGGAAGATGTTTTTGCAGCCCCAACAAGAAGCCACAAAGGCTGAGAACAATGAGAAAATGAACAAGACAACTTACTAGCCGGAAGCACAAAAGAAATAGCCGTGTGTCTCTCTCAAGCAAAAGGGGCAAAACACTTGGGAAATATATAGGATCACTTAAGTTACAGTAATGGGACAGCCCAACAAGAAAACACTAAATGGGCCAAATAAGCCATCCACTAAGTGAGGGACCGGGGCCATGAGCAACTCTAACTAATTGGACTGCTTCAAATGGCCCAAAATAGTTTTAGGGCCGAGTCATCAATCTTGGGTGTCGATATAATACTTATCCAACATTGATTTTACATCATCGCCAGGATTTATTAGGTATCAAAATCCAACAAGATCGATGGATGACATTCCTATGGGATTCAGATCGTGTTTTATGTAGTCAACTCCAAACAAATGCTCGACTTTAATACATTATTAATGCAAGGACTAAAGAAGCAAACTGCATTTATGTATGGCTTTTAATGAGTTTAAGAGGTGGCTTAACTACTACAACCCACTTGCCCTAATAATTCCTGCTCATGATCTGATGACCTAAGCTTTGCCAAGTTGGGTTTGAGGGGATGAATTTCTGTACCTTGCAATAAATTTGCACTTTAATTTCAAGATTAGCCAAATATTCAACGTCAGTTCGTGTTTCACATCTTTTATCAGTGAGTAATAAGGATACTTAAATACTGAACCTTTATGTGCTATGATATAATCAAAACTGAAATTCAAGTCTTGGGCTAATCAAGTCATTGTTCAGTAGGGAGAGGGTTTCCCCCCTCCAGACGGCATCTTTTTGTAACTATTATCAAACAAATCACTCTTAGCTTTAATTATATATACAAGTCTCTGTGTAATTTATTATCGGAGCAGTCAGTTGACATTTCTATTAGACTCATTCCAAACTTTTGTTAATACTGATGGAAATGATGATTTCAGTAATATCAGAATTTCTATCTATCTATTTATTTAACAGGTAGATTTTCAACTCTTCAATTTAATCCAACAGAAGAAGAACATAATGCAATTCATCATCTTAAACTTTTAGATGATGTAATTCATGAATACGCGATATCCTTTTGGTGTCGGAAAATTAAGAAATTCCTCAAGAAGTATTTTGTTGGTGTAGGTGACTGAATTTTGAAACTTCCTCAGCAGACTTAACAGTTTTTCCTCTTGTCTAGATTAATGTAAAAAAATGAATTCAAAGTTTTTAAGCATCTAGATATATTCAAGACAAGAATCCAGGCAACTTGTGAATACTAAAATAATAAGTTTACTATACAATTTGAAACTGCATCAATAAATGCATACATAATTAGGACATGGTTTGTTTATTTTCATGTTTTCTTCTATGTTCATGGGATAGTGTCACCAGTAGGCCACACCCATGTGATGACTTCTAGCAATCTATGATAATGACAAAAGGCACAGTTTTTCTTCCATGGCATTGATTGAAACTCAAAACTTCCATAATATTTATAAGTATCCAGATTTTGGCATTCCTTCAAGGCTATAGCAGTAATGGATTCCTTTCAATCTCAAACCCCAAAGAAAAGGCTAACTTCAAACCAGGTGAGGCTTTTGGAAACTAGTTTTAACGTCAATAGCAAGCTCGACCCAGATATTAAGTCCCAACTCGCATTACAACTAGGGGTGCCACCTAGACAAGTAGCAATATGGTATCAGAACAAACGTGCACGTGAAAAGAATCAGAGTCTTGAGATAGATCACAAGATTTTGCAGGTAAGACTTGAAAATATTTTATCCCACAATGCTAGGTTGCAAGGAGAAGTGGCGAGGCTAAAGGATGAGTTAAATAAGGTTCAAGAAATGTTACAAACCTTCAACTCTTCCTTTTCAAGCTCCTCTGATGAAGTTGGAAGCACCAATTTGATTCATAGCTCAAAGAATCATTTGGATATGGCGCCCTATCCTTCTTTTATCGGTGATGCAGGCCAGTTTGGGCCAACAGAAGGATATGACTTGTTTGCTTGATCTTGGCTAACATGGAAAACTACTTCCATTAAATTTAAAATATCAGAAACACTTTATTTTGATTAGTTTATATATCATGAAATGATTGGCCTGTAATGCATCAGATTAGATTATCAGTTCACAGCCTTTTCCGATGGAATAATCCAATGAGAAATGATATGTAAACTACGCTCGATAAAGATAATACCACTCTGTGCCAGTGTTTTAAAGATTCCCACATCGAAGAATGAACACAGATAAAACCACTTTATTATTCAGCACAGAACAGATCTTGCACGCCGGGCTTGGTAGCGCAAGCTTGTAACCCAAGTGGGGGCCTTATGGTGTTTGGACATTGTTCAAGCCCAACTGACTGGATTCAGGCTTGCAATTTGCGGGCCTGCCCGTTCCAAGCAAGGAATTGGGCCATGTTGTCCAAGCGAAAGCTTGGGCTGCCTGGCTCTTAGAGTGGAGGAGACCGCGTCAGGCTGGCTTTACAGAGCAGCGATGACCTCCCATTCTTTGCAGTGGAAGGATAACGGGCCGGTGCTTCCTGATCCAATAAAAGTCTGATGTGCTTGTCCTAATTGGACATTCACTTTTTCATTTTCCTTTTTTTCCCTGGATTTTTAGACCCAGATTTTCCACAAGTTTCCTTCATAGATCTTCCAAAAATCGAGTAAATTTACTTCAGGTAACACTGCAAAATTGTAAAAATTAATTTTAATTGATCTACCGCACCTTTACGATGTTCAAGTTATCAAAAGACGAAAGTCCATTTACCTTTCGCGAAACGACATAAATCAGATTGCCAATGTGATGCAGTCATGAAGAGTATGGTCGAGTCTAGTTCAATTTGTTCGCTTACTTTTTAGGTATAATTTTATCTTTATTTTTTATTGTTTTCTAAACCTCTTTCGATTCTTGTTGGATATTATTGACGAATTAACGAATATTTGATTGTCAAATTTCGACATTCAATCAAATCAACGAGTCTTTGAATTGTTAACATCAAGACATCATGCTCTACTAGTTATAGTGATCCACTCCCACTTTGAGCAATTTAGGTTTAGAAGGTACTTTTTTAAAAAGTAATTCTTTACTTATTTTATCAAAAAAATCACTTTTTTTCTAATTTTTTTTTGCAAAAAGAATCTTCTTATTTTATCAAAAAATCAATTAAAACTTATCTTTATCTATATCCCCATCAGGTCATCATATCACTGTAATGACAATTTATTTGTAGTTGACTTGAGAACACCACCAATGACGCCACCTCCAGTTTACAAATAAAGATAACATTTTTCTAGAATGGCTGGCAAATTGAACCATTCAATGAGAGTAACAAGTTTGAAAGTTAATATATTTTTTTAAGGAAAATCTTTGAAGACTTTGCAATAGTTATAAAAATGGTCAAATCTTTGGTGCACATATCTCGGGCAAAAATTGGTCAACATGAAATAAAAAATTCAAGATTTGGATCTGATTACAAATGTCGAAATTCTTCAAAAATTTCAAAAACTCCAGACAGTCGGTTCGGAGTTTGCCATCTTGAAGCAAATAATCGAGATTTGGAACTCATTAGAAATCTCGAACTTCCATATTAAGTATACGACAATGATAAATTTTACACCATTATTTTGAGGTTTGTTTAGGTACGGATAGATGAAATTCTTATATAACATGATCGTGCATAAAGGGGATCGAACAATGAATTTTGGACAATGGGTATTATTACTATTGGTTACCATGCCCATTAAATAAACAAAGTGTCATGATATATGTGATCTATATATTTAAAAAATCGAAATTGAAATCTCGAAATTGCTTTGTAGAAAATCAAACTTTTGATTTTACACATGCGAACTTAAATATAGAATTTTAGTGTAAACGTAGAAATGTAGTAATGATGAATTTTGTTGATAATCTCGAATTGGTGACGAAATCCTGAATTTTTCAGAAATGTCGAATTGCACGAATATTTGGAACTGAGTACTTTGTTTTTTATAAGCATTTAAAATTCGAAATTTGGGGAATCTCGAATTTGTAGCGAATTGAACGGATTTCTACTATTTTACATAGCGTGTGTATTACTTTTATAGGTTAAACTCCGAATTTGAAGATGATTGATGCAAAAATAAGGAACCTACGTACAGAGCGAAGCATATGAGAAAATTAATATACAAATTTTATTACACAGACATCACATGGCAAATAATATATTATTAGAAATATAATGACTTTAGTAGAGTTTAATTACGAAAAATGAGTGCAATTTGGAGTTGTGGATAAAAAAAAAAAAAAACATGCGTTTAAAGTAGGCAACTAAGCAAACTTGAGATTTTCACTGCTAATTCGAGATTTGCACATAAAAATCATGATTTGCTCAGGATACTTGTGGTTTGCAAAGCAATTCCCTTGCATACTCGATATTTGCATAGAAAAATCGATATTGGTCCATCATACTCGGCTCCTGTTTGGTACCGATTAAAAATTTAGATTTTAATTTAAAATTTAAATCAAAGTCAACAATTCATTTCAACCACATATTTTATGAGTTCCATAATTTTTCAACCATACATTTCATCAACTTCTAATAAAATCTATTAAAAATATGATTTTATTCCCCATCAAACATGGGCTCGATTTTCACATAGCAACTTGAGATTTGCCTAGCATCCTTGAAATTTCCATAGCAAACTCAAAATTTGACCAGCTAACTTGTTGAATGTCTACAAAATTCGATATTTATCCAGCAAAAATTCACTATATCACCTAGCAAACTAGAGATTATGTACAATATCCAGTTTCCCTTTGTCCCTTCAAAAATTTCACGTTTCAGATTTAAAGTTCAACCACGACAGCGAACAAATAATTCTAATCTCGATGTGACTATATTATATAGTTTTGACATTTTTTGTCCAAAAAATTCAAAAATGCATGAAACATGGACATTCAAACTCGCCTAAAAAAATCAAAAAACAATAATCTATCATGTTCTTCCTCATCGTCTTCTTCTTTTCATAAATTTTTAATTCTAATATAATTCTAGAAAACTCCCCAATTCTTGACTCTCTAACCAACTTGCTCGTCATAAAAAAAAAAAAAAAAAAGACACTCCTTTGTTGCTCCTAATATGAGAGATCCGTTTTGATGGTCGAAATGAAAATTAAAATGAAGAAGCGTAAGAAGAAAAGGAAAAAGAAATTAAAATGACGGGTCAATTTGGGATCGATTTAGATGATTCTCTCTTGAAAAATGATGTGGTGGAGGCGGCACAATGACAATCTTATTGGATGAGATGTCGACGAATGTGCCATCAGTTTTAGTCGAGTTGAGTGAGAGAAGGAAATAGATATTATTATTGAGGAAAAGAAGAAAGGGTTTGGGTATCTAAGACATGTTCGGTAGAGATTAAAATCGAATTAAAATTGAAAAATTAGCCATTATTGTTAACTTTTATTAGACGAGTGGAACTCAATAACGATTATATTTTCAATTTTAATTGAATTTTAATCACTCCCAAATGGGAATTGGCATTTTTTTAAAAATGGTATTGGATGCAAATCTTTCAATTTTTTGCCATTTCTCAAAATGGGGTATCAAATTTGGACATTTCACACAATTTCCTCAATTTTAATATATGAGTAATTTAAATTCGAATTATTACTTAGCTAGATGGACACTTTGTCAAATTATTGAGATTTACGGGTTGGGCTGCGGGTTACCCATTAAAATGTGGAAATTACATAAAATCAGACATTTAGTTTAACATTTTAAAAAATCAGGTTTAAACTTTATTTATTCAATTTTTAGGTTTTTATCATTTTAATTAATAATGATATTATAAAATTAAATTAACATAAATACCCACCTAATACCTACCCCCACCAAATTTCAATCCCAAACCCTAAATTATCACTACCGTCTCTACCCCTTCATCCTCGTCTCCTCCCTTATCCCTCTCACTTCGTGCACAGCAGTGTCGCACTGCCATTCACTACATTAATTGCTTTGGCATTAGAATTTATAAAATAACCTATATACCCACCCTGTTACCTGCCCCCACCAAATATATTTTAAATATGAAACCCTAGATCAACTACCATTTCTCTCCACTCTCTCATCCCCCGCTGCCTCCACAGCCCATCGCCACAGTCCGCCTCTCCCCCTCCTCTCCTCCTCCCCTCCCTACCTCCCCCTTCTCCTCCCTCCATGCCATTCAGCAGCGTCACGACGCTGCTGTGGGTGTGCGGCGCCACGATGCTACTGTGGGTGGGTGGTTCACAACAGCGTTAAAAATCAGCTGGTGTAGTTTTCAGTTGGGATTGATGGGAATATTCGTTGAATATGCAGACTCTGGCTGTGGAAAAAGCACCTTCATACGGCGATTGATGAGTGTCTTCGGCGGCGTGGCGGAGCCACCCAAGGGCGGCAACCTTGACTCCAACACACTAATTAGGGACACCACTATTGTGATTTGTTTAGATGATTATCATTCACTGGATAGAACTGGGAGAAAAGGGAAGGGAGTCACTGCACTTGATCCCAGAGCAAATAATTTTGACCTATGTATAAACAGGTTAAGGTGATCAAAAGTGGTGACGCGACGCTGGCAACAGCGCGAGCTGTTGCAGGTGGATGTGGTTCGGCTGTGGGTATGTGGTGAGGTTTCGCAACGCAGAAAATGTCTCAGAATAGTTGGGTTGTAATTGTGCCGACGGATTTTGGGATTTTTTGGGGATTTGAGGCGGTGCTTTTGTTGGATTTGGTGGTGACTGTGATTTTTGTTGTGTGCGTGACGGTGGGGTGGTCGTGGCGGGATGAGATGAGATGATATGAGATGAGATTAGGTGTGTTTGTAACCAATGATTTATTATTATGGCGGTGGTTGTTGTGGTGGTGTTGTGACAGGGCGACGATGATGGTGGTGCTGTCATGCTGTATAGGCGGCGACAGTGGTGGTGTAAATTTGAGGAGATATCTGTATTTTGTTAAGTTATTTTGTAAATTTGAGATGCAATCTGGGATTCCAAATAGCTAATCATGTGAATGTTAATATTTGGTTCTTGAACGCATTGCATTTTGATTATGCAGTTTCTTTACTGTTAATCATTGAGGGTTTTGAGGGATTTTTATTTTTTGAACATGTTTTGAGATTGTTGGGATGCAATGTCAATGGTGTAGCAAGTATATAATGGGGTCGACGGCGACGACGGCGACGGCGGTGGTTTTCTTATTGTGGTGGTTCAGGCGGAGATGGTGGTGCACTAGGATTGGGGGATGGGTGTTTCGGTGTATGTAACCAACTATTTCGATCTGTGACATGTGACCAAGTATTGGTGGTGTTCTGGGATTGGGGGACGGGTGTTTGGGTGTATGTGACCAGCTATGTGGTTTGTGACCTTAAAATTCGTTAATCTGTGACTCAAAATATAATCTGTGACCAACAAATTTGGAAATATGTGATCTCTATGACCTATAATTTTTTTAACTTGTGAAAAATTAAAAATTTGAGAACTATAATTTTTTTGATCAGTGACCAATGTAGTCAATTATGACCTATAAATTTT